CGAAATAATAATGTCTAATTCCAGAGAAAAAGAAAATTCTATGTAAATTAACTTTTTTTTTTCTCCTGATATAGTTACATAATTCTTTTATCTAAATTAGGCCTTACGTTACACATGATAAAAGAAAGGCGAATATATTGGCGTATACATGTATGTATGTATGTATATATATATAAAGGCCATCTTCATTTACAGTAAGGGTAAACTATGATAGGTAAGAGTAAGTAGTTTCACATGTAAAGCCCTTCAGGAACCCCTTCTTTCTTCTTGAACATCACCTTTTCCTTCGCCTTCTTGAAGTCCTCATGCATCACCTGATAATTTCACCACCACCACCACCACCACCAATCTCAGCTTAACAAAATTTTCTCACCCAAAACAATAACAGAAAGGCTTTACCTTCATGCGGCGCTCTCTCAAGGCAAGCAAACCAGCTTCTGTACATATTGCCTTTATATCAGCTCCAGACAACTCTTCTCTAGTCGTGACAAATTCTTCCAGGTTGACATCATCTGCCAACGTCATTTTTGATGTATGTATCTGTGTTATATATACAGATAATATCAGTGATTATAAATTCCTTTTCCTAGAAATAATATTATATATATATATATGTATATATACCTGGAAAATATGCCTCCTTGTTTTGATATCTGGAAGTGGAAACTCAACCTTTCTATCTATCCGACCAGGACGAAGTAAAGCTGGATCAAGACATTCAATTCTGTTTGTTGCAAGAATAACTTTAACATCTGCTCGTGAATCAAACCCGTCTAATTGGTTTAGCAGCTCCAACATCGTCCTCTGAATTTCACGTTCACCACCCGACTGAGCTTCATACCTCTTTGTACCAATGGCATCAATCTCATCGATGAAGACGATGGAAGGTGAGAGGTCATCTGCAACTTTGAAAAGCTCCCTCACTAACTTCGGACCATCTCCCAGGTACTTTTGAATTAGTTCACTCCCCACTACGCGTAAGAAGGTGGCTGATGTAGAATTAGCTACTGCCTGAAATGACGTGGAAACTTCTTCATATAACCACGCATTTACAGATTAATCTAAAAGAGAAAGTTAAAAGACAACCTTGGCAAGCAATGTCTTCCCTGTGCCTGGTGCACCGTACAAGATGACACCCTTTGGGGGTTTGATGCCGATGTCTTCATAGAGCTCGGGATGAGTAAGAGGTAGCTCAACTGCTTCTTTAATCTCCTGTATCTGGGCATCTAACCCTCCTATATCAGAATATGATTCTAATGGAGCCTTATCCACTTTCATCACAGACACCATTGGATCAACTTCATCTTGCAGTAACCCCACCACCGAAAGAACCTGAAAACAAATTAAGGCCAAAAAATTAACCAAACGATTCATTTGGTTAATCCTCGAAAAACATTTTAAAACAAAAATTTGCGTTACCTTATTGTGCATCAAAATAGCACAGCCAGGCTCCAGCTGATCTTTATCAACCAAGGACAAAATACCCACGTAATACTCTGGCCCAACCGAAGTAGAAACGATGGCGTGATTCTCATCGATTAACTCCTCCAAGTTTCCAACGCTCATCGGCGACCCACGCAGCTCGTCCACCTTGGACCGATCCTCCTCTGCCTTGTGCTCTTGAGGCTTAAGCCGTTCCTGACTGGTGACGAACTCTTCTTCCATCAAAAGATAATCTTTCACTCTCTCCAGTTTGAGAAGTCTTAGCTTGGACTTGGTCGAAGGTGTCACTCTAGGTAACCGAGCAGCCGCCTCGGGCCCCTTTTGCTTGCGTTGCTTCCGGCCAACTCGGACCGGGGGTGGCGCCGGTTCGAACTTCTTTCCTTTCTTGTCGCCGCTGTTGGGCTTCCGGTCTCCCGGTAAGCCCTGGCGGTTCATCCCGCCTGATGGGCTCTGACCCATGCTTGTGATGATAAATCGGGAATGCGGAAACGGAGTAGAGAGTGGATGATGAGTTGGAATTTGCGGCTAGCTTGGAGGAACTAATAAACACAAGTTGATTTTATCTGAAGATTATTTCATTTATGGGAAAATAGGGGTGACTTTGGAACTTGGCTCCGTGAGGCGGTGCATGGATGATGATGAACTCAGGATGAAGAAGGATATTTCTGCAGTGTTCATGGAAAGAGGAGAAATGGCGAAATTTGAAATCGGCCTAATACTGACAAACCCAAGTTGTCTTTCTTCTTCTTCCTCTCAAAGAATGTAGAACAGGAATTTGGAATTTACACTCTGGAAATTTTGTATCGAATTAATTAATTATCTCCTTTATTTAACATGTAAGTTTATAATATATAATTAATATTCAAGAGAATTTAGTCCAACCGTTATTCAAAGTTTCAATTAAATATATATTATTTTGTAATTTAAAAATTATATAATTAAAATAAAAAATTATAAAAACGCGATAGAATAAAAAGTAAAATAAACTAATAATTTATTGCAATAACATTGTAGAATTGGAACTTATAAACAAAATAAACTAATAAGAAATTATCAAAACTAAATTATTTTTTACCCCATGGATGTTTCCATACAAATTTATCAGTCTCAGTGTTAAGCAAGTAGAAACCATCATCTCTGGGTTCCCAAATGCACCAATTGCCGCCGCACTGGGAGATAGCAAACCTCTCATTTGAGTCAAAGGTGGTAAAAGCAGAATGTTGTTGTTTATCGTCCCAAAACTCACACGTACAGACCGTCGTCCCGAAGAATTTTATGTGGAAACCAAATTCGTACGCCTGGCCGCCGGCGAGGTTGTGCAAGCCCTTATCTTCGTCTCCGAACTTGCACTGAACTTTCAGAGGCCTGTTGTTGCCCAGTTGATTCACTACCTTCACATGGTATTTCTTAAATGGCTGAGGAATCCACCGGCTGTTCACCTCCAACACCATGTTTCCCATCACCACCACCACCACCACAACCACCAACAGCTCAATCCTCATCATGTTTTTTCTTCCTTCTTGTTATTTTATTTCTAACTCTCGTTTCCCTTCTCATTTTATAGACGAAGCAAATTCCCATTCCCCGTATGGCAATGAATATCCGTAACCGATCATTTTATTCAAACTTTGCATCTGTTTTTTTTTTTAATGGTGATTTTGAGAAAACCAAATCTGCAGGATTCTGGAATTGTAATTACAGCCTTCTGTGCATTCAATACCTCATTGATTTAGTATTCTCAATTAATTGGATTCAACCGTTGAGTGTGTGATTGTATGAATATGTACTTAATAAATAGCGAATGTTTTCTTTTTTTTTTTGTAAAAAATAAAAAAGTATATCAAAGTACTAAAATTAAAACATCATCTATTTATACAAAATTATCATTGTCGTCCTTACTAATATCATGAACTAATAAAATAAAATTAAAATAATAAATTAATTTAATTTTTAATATTTTTAAATTATTTTTTTTTTCCAACAAAAATTTTAACATTTTTATCTTTCCAAATAACCCAAAAAAAAAAAACAGTCAATAAAATTTGATTAGCAATAAATCTTTTACGGCTAAAGCCATCCCATGAACGGAAACCAAAAACTTTATGCTAATAATTGCTTGAGATACTATAGTTTTTCTTTTGGAACTTTTAAGATATTATTGTATTTAATTATATTTAAATGTTAATAATTACTCAAGATTTATTTCTTGTGTATTTGATCACTTTTAATTACATTTTAACGTTTACTTAATCCTCTTACTTGTCTTTGTTTCTATTTCCCCCGCAACTACATATATGACATTTAACAAGTATATTTGACCAGATCGACCTTAAAGAAGAAAATAAGAGATAAAAGCAATCAAAAATAGAAATAGGTATAAAAGTTAAAGTTAAATTATTAATTCACTGTAATAATGTTATAGATTGGAACTTAAAAAACAATATAAAGTGAGAAGAAAATAACCTAAGTCTGATTTCATTTCTTTTTTCCAGAAGAAAAAAATGATCTATTCAGATTCTATTATATTTTAAACCATAGATGTTTCTTTATAAACTTCTTACTGTCAGAGTCAAATAAGTAAAAACCATCATCTCTGGGTTCCCAAGTGCACCAATTATTCCCGCACTGTTCAACTGTGAACGTTGCCTTAGCATCAAACACGTCGAAAACAGCATGGTGTTTTCTGTCGTCCCAAAAATTACACCAGAAAAGCGTCGTCCCCATCATGTTTATTTGAAAACCGAATTCGTATTCCTTGCCCGCGGCCAGAATGTGGAAACCCAGATCATCGTCTCCGGACTTGCAGTGAACTGTCAGAGGTCTGTTATCGCCCAGTTGATTCACTATCTTTACGTGTTGTCTCCTCCATGGCTGAAGATTCCACATGCTGTCCGCCTCCACCGCCATGTTTCCGATCACCACCACCACCATCACCACCGCCACCGGCAACTCAGACTTCATCTTCTTTTCTTTCCTTCCTTTTTTGTTATTATATATTATACCATTTCTAGCTACTGTTTCCATTCTCATTTTATAGGCGAACAAATTCCTACTCCATGCATGCAATCTCCATGTGCATTTATTTGTTTTCTGCGAATATAATGAGTAATTTTGAGGAAATTAAATCTGCAGGATTCTAAAATTATAAATTACTGCTTAATTAGCCTTCTTTACACCCAATACACCCCATTGATTTAGTACTCTTATAACTGACTTCATTTTTCATTCACTTCTGTTAACTGCTCTGCAGTTTTAATGTTAATTAATTACTTTCCCACCAATCAAAATACGTAATTCTCTCTTAATTCCCATTTTAATGTACGGCATTGAAGAAATTTTTTTTTTTTTTTGTGAGTATTGAATCGTTGACACAATGTTCTTCAATTCAAATCTCAACCGTTAAGCGTTTGTAAGTACGTGTATATATATTACTTGAGTACATTTTAATGTTACTTCCTTCTAGTAGTCTGATCTTCTTTCTGTTTCCCAGCAACTATATATGACATTTAAGAAGAAGAAATATAAAAGAGTAATATCCCTTTTAAGGAAAGTAGTGAGAAGCGCATTGATAAGATTCTTTTAAATGAAGAGATAAGAGCAAGAAGCAGAAAAACGAGCAACAACAGTGTCAAAATGAAATTGCCATAAGCATTAAATAAGCAAATCCATCTTCTGATAACCAAAACAATAAGGAATAGCCGAATTGTTCGTGCTGATAATCCTAAAAGTAACAACATCTGAGAACTTTCGGTGATAGTTAAGACTATTTCTTCTAAAAATCATTCATTTATATGCTCATTTGGTCATAAGGTTGATAAAAATAATTGGAGTATAAAGACTACCAATCTAAACACCCCATTGAAAAACTAAAGTTTACTGAAACCCCCTTTTGAGTAAGAATTGCAGGACTTTCTTTGAACCAGTTTAACAAAGACAATGCACAAGTCATTACAAATGAAATTGGGAAGACTTTGAAGATTAAATTTGCAGGGAAATAGAATCATTGGGTTGATTATTTTAGAGCTAAAAATCATTATCAATATTATAATAAACCCACTACTCTCGGGTTTATTCCTTGTGAAACCATATAACCTGCAGTGTATTGTAACATCAGCTGGACCCCACTGAACCAACATTGTTGAAGCCCATACTCTAGCTAAATGGGCTTGAAATTTTAATTATATAGACCCAGTTGATGCAAATGTATTGGATGTTATATTTTCTTAATAGCTTATGTACACAAATGAGGGGGATTGAGTTCATTAGGAGCCTGGTCCAATCTAGTGAAACTTACATTTTTAAGTTAGAATTTATTAGTCCACGTGCGTGATAGATGCCCAGAAAACAAAAACACGAGTGATTGCAAACGAAAGCTTCTACTTTTGGGATAGAAAAACCACAATTTTCTTGTTAATTAATACTTGTCTCATCCATAATCTAATGGAGCTTTAAATAAGAAGGAAAACAACAACTTCTCCCTGCTATCTAGGGAGCACAATAACTAATAGCAATCAAATAATCTCAACAAATACCAAATAATCTCAACAAATCAAAAGATAAGATAATGCTGGAAATAAATTAAAAAACAGATGATAAGTTGATGCTGAATAGTTGACCGGGTCTTGAGGAAGTTCTACTTGCTTCAACAATGCCAAAATCAGAGATACTTGGGATTCTTGACTAGGATCCTTGCCGATCTTCTGGTTGTATCATTGCCTCCATCTTTTGCAGGAACCTTGTCCTCAAGGTTCAAGTGGCCAAATTTATCTGTTAGTTCGCTGCTATTTTTCTAGGTAGCTTCTTTTGGGGGCAAAATTCTTCCATTGGACAAGACTTTCATCAACAAATTTTGCTCCCTTTTTGATCCATCAGGTTTCCAAAATGGTTTGTGGTTGCAGCAGTAGGTCCCCATCTTCATATATTTCAGGCATATTCTCAGCAGGGGCAATTACTTCACCAATCTATTTTTTTAACATGGAGACGTGGAAAATGGGATGGATACGCGACTCTTGTGGAAGTAGAAACTTGTAAGCAAAGGGGCCAATATGAAAAAGGATATGATAAGGCCCATAGTATCGATATGTGAGCTTCTGGAAGGCTCTCTTGAAAATTATTTGCTGCTGATATGGTCAGAGCCTGAGAAAGACCCAATCGACCTCCTAAGATTCGACTTCACGTTGATGGGCATTGGTGGTGGCTTGCATGCGACTGTTGGCTGCTTGTAAATTAGTTCGAAGTTGTTTGAGGAGGGAATCTCGGTTACAAAGCTGTTGGTCAACTTCATTGACAAGGGTTGAGCCATCTTGGTAACGAGGAATGGGCGGCGACGGTCTCCCATATAAGACCTCAAAAGGCATCATCCTGATAGAGGAGTGATAGGTTGTGTTGTACTAAAATTTGGCCTAATGAAGGAGAGAACTCCACTTGCATGGTTATTGGTAGCTTAAGCACCATAGATATTGTTCCACATTGCGGTTCACAACTTCTGACTGTCCATCTGTTTGCGGATAGTAGGAAGAGCTCATTTGGAGCTGGGTGCCAGACAACTTAAAAAACTCTTGCCAGAAGCGGGTAATAAAGACCGAATCCCCGTCACTAATTATGGAGCGAGGCATACCATGTAATTTTACCACATTGTCCACAAATTTTTCTACTACGATCTTAGCAGTGTAAGGGTGATAAAGTGTGCACTCTTGCTAAGACAGTCAATCACAACCAATATAGTATTCTTTCCATTTGAGATAGATAGTCATTCAATAAAATCTATGAAAATATCATCCCATATTTGACAAGGGATTGGCAATGGTTGGAGAAGGCCGACTGGTGAGAGTGTCTCGACTTTGACTCGTTGGTCGATGTCACATGTTGCTACATAAAATTATTGGGCCAGTCTTTTGTAAATTCGTCGGAAACCTAAGTGGTCACGGTCAAAGATGAGTGGAATTCCAACAATAATTATTGTGCGAATTTTAATTTATGAGGGACAATAATTCGATGCTTAAATAAATCAACCTGTTTTTGAGTGAAAAGGAACCAACTGCTGAGTCGGTGACTAACTTGCAGGCTGTCTGCATATAGGGATGATCTACAGCTTCCCGGATGGTGTTCCACAAATTATTTTTGGGAATAGAGATAGTGTGTAGAGCAGGGCTATCTTCCCTACGAGATATAGCATCAGCAACATAGTTTTATTTTCCTGATTTGTACACGATCTCATATTCGTAGCCAAATAATTTAGAGAGCCACTTTTACTGTTTCGGAGTTGTAATTCGTTGGTCCAACAAATGCTTCAAACGTTTCTAATCAGTGTGCAAATAGAACTTTCTACCCATCAAATACCGACTCCATAATTTTATGACAATAACAACGGCAAGCATCTATTTGGCGTATGTCGACCATGACTGCTTGGCAACGCCTAATGCCCGACTCATGTAAGCTATAAGCTGCCCATACTGAGTGAGGACGATCCCAATGCCGCAGCCAGAAGCATTAGTTTCTATGATAAATGGCTCTTCAAAATTTAGGAGTGCCAAGGTAGGAGTTGTTGTCATAGCAACCTTGAGATTTTGAAAAGTTGATTCTGCTTCCTCAGACCACCTAAATTGTCCTTTTTTTAAGGAGATTAG